GTTGCTGCTGTGTGACCATACAACCCACTCTTCTCGACCTTGGGTGTCTGGCCTCAGAAAGTCAGTGCTCACCAACCCTCCGGGGCCCAACTGACACACAAACAAAAGCAGAAGCCCATCAAGAAGGGGGCACAAATACACACAACAGGACAGGTCAACCCCACTACTCCACGTAAATTCCCTGACAAGTTAGTGGGACCTTCTCCCATTGAGCCAATCAAAGTGGAAGGCATCTATTCAAAAGCCCTTTTGTACACAGGAGTACAAGTGAATCTGCTATACTGAGACTTACTGAGTCCCTACAGAAATTGGAAGAACTAGAAATATGGGGCCTTGGAATTCAGAATTTTCCATATGATAGGTACTTCCCAATCAAGTTGTCCTTCAACCCCTCTGTGACTGGGCAATCAGAGACATTCGATACATTAGCAGTTGTATGCCCTTGCCCACCTGGAGCCAACAAGAGTTCCTTAATAGTAGGAAAAAACACCGGCCTTGTCAGGAAACTACTCGCTCCTCTTGTCTCAAAGTATGACACTCCAACCGAGAGTGTATACCGCATGCTATGACAAGTGTATCGGTGCCTGATTAAAAAAAATAAAGCCCCATCAGAAGGGGTGTGAAACTATGGCAATTAGACAGAAGTGAGAAGATATTACAGCCAGGGGACATGGCATGTATACGGGCTTCAGTCACATTCAGTTGAGATCAACAGGACCCTTTGTTGTTTTTGAAGTTGACTCTGGAGGAGAGGACACAGGGGTGGAGGTAATCCCAGAAGTGGTGTCAACTGGAGACTTGCAACAAAGTCATGGAAAGATTCCAGTCAGTGTCCGCACCACTTACAGTCCAAATGTTGCTAGGACAAGTGAATCCAGCCTTCTGATTTGGTGGGGGGGGGAGCAGAAGATGAGATTCCAGTGGAGAAGTTTTACCCACAGAACACCCCGTTCCCACCCGAGTGGAAATACAGTGTCAAAGCCCCAGCTTCTGAGATGGCAGGAGACATTATTGAAAAGTGAATTTGATGTTAGATGTGCAAAGAGTGCCCAGGAATACAAGCCATTCAGTGAAAGAGTTCGACAAATTCCACTGGGTGATTTGGAAAATCTTTGTGAGCAACTGGCAGAGCTAAAGAGAGTGAGCATCATTTGACAGTCATGGAGCCCTTATGCCTCCCCCATAGTAGTTGTTGAAGAATGAGTATATGACAATGACCCAGACTCAACAAAATCAGTCAAACCGAAGGATCCAGGAATCAATCCAAGACCAGTGGATTGACCAGTGTGAGCAAGCTTTCAGTTTGCTGAAGTGGAGCTTAACAACTGCTCCTGTTCTAGCCTATGCCGGGTGTTATATCAAGAAAAAAATGGACACATGTGGCCTGTTGCCTATGTGAGCAGAAGTCTTACATCTGCTGAGAACTACCCTACACACAAATTGGAGTTCTTGGCTCTGATGTGGGCAGTGGTGGATAAACTGAAAGACTATTTGTATGGTGCAGACTTCATAGTCAAACTGACAATAAACTGCCCACATATATACTCACCACAGCCAAGTTGGATGCCACTAAGCACAGGTGGTTGGCCACCCTATTAGGATTCTGCTTCAGCCTTAAGTCTCTCCAAGGGGACGGGAACAGAGATGCTGATGCCCTGTCAAGGAGACCCTATAACTCAGGGGCTTTCTCTGAAGAGTGGACTCAACTGAAAACAGAAGGGATACAAGCCTTTAAGGGTCAGAGTATCAGGCCAGAGGAGCTACAGGGGCTGAAGCTATTGGAGCCTCAGTGGCAGGTGTTCCCAATAATACTGTGATCTTTCCTAAGTAAGGGACAAAGGCCTGCTTAAGCTTTCAAAGAGAGACTTAAGAGGATCAGATAGAGGATCCTCTCTGTCGTGTACATTAAAGGCCCTGGAAGGTCAATGGCCATATCTACTGCTGGCAGACTCTTCGAGAGAAGCACATCTAGTACACAAAGAATGGGATCAGTTGCAGTTACGCAACCGGATGGTCTACCGAATCAGCCCCTTGGATAATTCCGAAAATAAGTGGCAACTATTCTTGTATGGAGACTGTGTTGACTGCCTTACATGACAATCATGGTCACTTAGGACCTGAAATAACAATCAAATTAGTGAGAGATTGTTTTTATTGGTCTTGTATGGTGGCTGAAGTGAAAAAAAAAACCTGCCACATTTGAATACGATATACAGAGGAAGACTGGGCCAGCCGGACCACCACAATAGGCAATCTTCAAAGTCAAGGACCAATGAAGTTAGTGTGCATTGACTTTCTGTATCTGGAGCCTGACTTAAGTGGACAGGGTAATGTCTTTAATGATAACCGATCACTTCACCCTGTATGCCCAAGCATTCCCAACCAAAGACCAGTAAGCATCTATGGTGGCCAAAGTTCTGGTAGAAAAGTTCTTCATCCACTACGGCCTACTTCAGTGAATTCACTCTGACCAAGGAAGAGACTTTGAGAGTAGACTCATAAGGAGACTGTTAGAACAGCATTGCAGCAGACACATTGCAGCTATTGTGCACGTCTACAACAGCACTGAAAATTACGCTACTGGCTATTCCTCATACAGGTTGATGTTCAGGAGGGAAGCTAGACTTAGCATTCAGCACATCCCTAGATTATACCTTGATAATGTCCCACAGAGGATATGTAGACCGTTTAAAGAAGAGTGTAATAACAGCGTATGAGAAAGCTCAGGCTGCCTCAGACACCCGGGGGCAGCGGAACAATAGCAACTTTGAACCTGAAGTTGTGAGTACACAACTTACAACTTGGTGATAGTGTTGCTAAGGAATCTGAGGACCCCTGGAAAACAAAGATTAGCTGATCAATGGAAATCACAACCCTATAGCATCTGCAAGCAGTTACCAGGACTGCCAGTGTACCAGATTTGCTCAGAGGGAAGTGCAGGCCCACTACAGACCTGGCACTGTAATCACTTACTGCCCCCCTATCAGAAGCAGTTTGTGTGCCTCAGTAACCAGATCCACAGCCTACTCAAACCACCTCTCAGAGATCATGCCCAATAACCAGGTCTCAAACTATGCCACCAAACACAAATGAAGAGGACATTGAAGAAGAGATGGGCATGGACTGGCTGTGGCTGCCTACACTGTCAGAGACTGCCACTCCTCCTCCTCTTAGAGAGACAGATACTGGAACCCTCAGGCCTAAGGCTCCAGAATTCATAAGACAAAGCCAATCCTTGGCAAGCCAAGAAGACCCCCCCTGATTTCCCTGAGTGCAGAGGAGACAGAAACTCCTCAACCATCTATAGAGGGAGAGCCAGCTGTACCAGAAACACCTGAGCCCAAACAGCAAAGCAAACAATTCGCCCCCCCTAAAAGACTGACCTATGATACCTTAGGTGAAAGTTCTGAAGAAGCCATTTTCACCTTCTCAAAGAACTCACACAACATCAACCCTTCCCACTACAACTTCAGTGGAGGGCGACTCAGACTCACCCCGTGACACATCTAGGTAGGACATTCCAGTATCGGTGGCTTGTAGACGAGACAACATTGCCCCTTATGCCAAATAGTGGTAGGTCCCCTTGTCAAATTAATATGTTAATGAAAATTTTCTGGGTTCGTGTGAATGTCAACTTAAGTTGCTTTTAGACATTCATTTAAGTTGCTTTAATGTTATAGACTTTTATGTAAATAGGCTCCGTCCCTGCTTTGGGAACCAAAGGTTCTTTGGTGGGAGGAGTGTGTAGCCGGGGCAGCCGATCCTTTCACCCCCACTCCACTATCTACTTGCCCTCTCCTCCAGTTTACTGTGAAAACAGCCGGCTGTAGAGGGAGAGGTACTATGTGTGGACTCCTTTCAGCCTCTCTCCTAGCAACAGCAATGGACCAATCAGCAGTAAGGAGAAGAGAACCAAATGTTCTAGAAAAAAGATTCTCCTCAAAGTGTGATAGGAGAGTGATGTGTCAGGAGTCATGTGACCGGATCATGTCAAGGAAAACCCCACATAAGAAGGAGCCTTGTCATGGCCCACAACCATGTGAGGGACAGCCAGAGGGTACAGAGCGTGACCCAAATATTGAGGGACAAAGCTACCTACCAGAGTCATCATGGGCAACCCAGAGTGAGTGGATACCCAATCAGAGAGACCACTGCTACTGTGTTGCGGGGTCTGGCAAGAGTCTTGTGGCTGCTACTTGTTATCACTGTTGGGGAATGAGCCATTAGGAACAACCATCCAGTTACTCCATAGATCTGATACTGTCTGCAGGCCTTACTGACTGCCTTAATGCATGCCAACAGACCCTCCCTCAAAGTTTAGCCGGCTGAGTCGGGACGAAAGACTGCCCCTAACAGATGTTGTCATGAAGTCTTTTTCTTTTTTTGTTTTATTTTTTTTTTTTAAAGAAGTACTTCTTAACCACTAGCCTACAGGGCACTTATACCCCCTTCCTGCCAGGCCAATTTGTGCTGTCACAATTTGAATGACAATTGCGCGGTCATGCAACACTGTACCCATATGAAATTTTTATAATTTTTTTGAGACAGATAGAGCTTTCTTTTGGTGGTATTTAATCACCTCTGGGATTTTTATTTTTTCTTAAAAACAAACCAAAAACCACTGAAAATTTTGAAAAAAAAAAGTTTTTTCTTAGTTGTTATACAATTATGTAAATAAGTGATTTTTCTCCTTCACTGATGTGCGCTAATGAGGCTGCAGTGATGGGCACTGATAGGCTGCACTGATGGACACTGATAGGTGGCACTGATGGGCACTGATGAGGAGGCACTGGTAGGTTGCACTGATGGGCATTGACAGGCATCACTGATGGGCACTGAAATGCAGCACTGACACATGACACTGATACATGACACTGATAGGCGGCACTGATAGGCAGCACTGACTGGCACTGATAGGCGGCACTGACTGGCACTGTTAGGCGGCACTGACTGGCACTGATAGGTGGCACTGACTGGCACTGATGCGTACTGATAGGCGACACTGAGTGGCACTGATTGGCAGCACTGATTGGCATTGATAGGTGGCACTGACTGGCACTGATGGGTGACATTGAAAGGCAGCTCAGATGGGCACTGATATGTGGCATTGATGTCCACTGGTATGCACTGATATGTGGCATTGATGGGCACTGGCACGTGGCACTGATGGGCACTGGCACGTGGCACTGATGAGCACTGACAGGTGGCACTTCTGGGGCCACACTGATCATCAGGGCACACTAATCATCAGTGCCCTGATGATCAGTGTACATGTCCCCTCCGCGGAAAGCCGATTACCGGCTCTCCTCACCGCTCGAGCTGTCAGCGTGACAGCTCGAGAGGAGAGAAATGCAGATAACCGGCATTTCCGTGTTTACATATGATCAGCTGTGATTGGACACAGCTGATCACATGACAGACCCAACATCTTTGGCTCTTTCCGTGATCCGCTGTGTCCGAGGGACACAGCGCACTGGAGATCGCCGGTGCTGCATGCTCCCTGAGCAGCGCATGCGCAGTGAGAATGGTAGGACGTCATATGACGTCCTATCAGAACGAGAGAACCTTCTTGCGCCCGTCATTGTACTATAGGGCGGGCAGAAGGTGGTTAAAGATGTGCTGCATCCCAAATAGACCCTTAGAGCAGTGATTCTCAACCTTTTTTCAGTCAAGACACCCTTTAAAATTATAGAAAATGTCAAGGCACCCTCTAAAACTATGGACAGTCCTGAGGCACAATTTAAATTATGGACAGTCCTGAGGTACCCCATGTAAAAACTATTCTAACAGTTTTACTGTATTTAACGCAGCAACATCCACACGTGTAGGACACCTAATGTTAGAGGTGATTTATTCTTCCAAAGCAAATATACTTTTGCACACTGGTACTGACTAGTATTTCAATGTTTCTCTTCTTCCTCAGTTTTTCTCCATCACTGAGCTAATGTGACCCCAGTGCGGACAGAGAGGGGCAGGGGAGGGTCATACAAGGATGTTGTGCAGGCAAAGGACATCCTCCTTATCAACTGACGTAATTGGTTGTCAGGATGCCGGTGGCTAGGTCATAATGGTGCACAATAAAAACCTGTGGTTTTGGGTAACTACAGTAAAAGGTAGGCTTGTTCTACCCGCTGGCTTGTATACAAGTTTTGAACAATGTTTACACATTTTGCTTGGCACCCTGGTTGAAAAAGGCTGCCTTAGAGTGCACTCTAACCTAGTGTAGTGTTATCATCATTTATATTGCATTTAACATTTACTAATATTGTTTATTGCTGATTTACTAACTTATACTTTTGACCTGAGTTAGGGGTATAAAAGCTCATTTTTTCCAGTTAAACATAGTTATTACTCTAGCAGACTGTGTTATAATCTATCAGATGTGTATTCATTTATGTTCAATTTGCCATTTATTCTAGCCTGTATCAATAGATTAACCACTTACCCTCCGGAGGATTTACCCCCCCCCCCCCCCCCCCCCCCGACCAGGCCGTTTTTTGTGATACAGCGCTGCATTACTTTAACTGACAATTGCGCAGTCATGCAACGCTGCACCCAAATTAAAAATACGTCCTCTTTTTTCCACAAATGGAGCTTTCTTTCGGTGGTATTTGATCACCTGTGTGTTTTTTATTTTTGCCCTATAAACAAAAAAAGACTGACGATTTTGAGAAAAAAACAATATTTTTGACCTTTTGCTATTAACCTCCCTAGCGGTATGATTATTTCATATTTTTGGTGCTGAAAGCGGTACCATTATTTTGCATGGAAATATGTACTTTTTTTATTGTAGGCTGTAATTTTTAGGAATAACTCACTGAAATCTGTCTGAACAAGATTCTAAATCATACATTTAATTCAATAATATAATCAAACCAAAAACACTGAAATCTGAAATATAGCGCCAAGTTCGCACATCGCTGAGCAAAGTCGCAAAATTGTTTTCAGTGTCTGATGACGAATTTCTCCACGAATCATTATCACTCAATTCTGCAAGTAGTTCTGATTTACTATCGCTGTTCTCTAGCTGATCTAAACCCGCTTTTGACCTAAAGGGACACTTTTTGGACGTCATGGACTTTTCTACGTTTCCAGGCAGAAAGAACAATAAAAATGCAAACAGGGGACAGGACAAAGCACTAGGGACAAAATGTATGTGAAATGGGTTGAAACAGCAATGTTTTACTATGTAAAATCGTTTTGAAAAAAATGACATTTTTTTTAAATTTTCAAATTTCCCACCGGCGGCGGCGCCCATACGTCCCGACGTCACAGGGACCGAAACACAGGGCCGGGGACGCTGCAGGGGACACATCGCGGGAGCCAAGGATAAGGTAAGTGCTGCAGGGACTCCCTATGCAGCGCTGCATGGTAAGCCCGAGTGTAGCTCAGGGTTAACGCTTTTGCTTTAGATATTTTACCCCGAGCTACACTCGGGAATACCGCTAGGGAGGTTAAACATGTCCAGTAAAAAAATTTTAAAAATCAATTTTCATCATAAATTTAGGCCAAAATATATTCTGCTACATGTCCTTGCTAAAAAAAATCCCAATACATGTAAATGAATTGGTTTGAAAGCTATAGCGGTAGAGATACAGGAATTTTTTTTTCTATTAGTATTGGTGGCGATCAGCGACTTATAGTGGGACTGCGGCGGGCATTCTGACACTGGTAGGAACTGATTTGGTGTCACTGACATCCCCAGTGACACCAATACAGTGATCAGTGCTAATGAAAAGCACTGACTCTGTACTAATGGCAGGAAGGGGTTAACATCTGGGGCGATCAAAGGGTTAACTGTGTGCTGTTTTACTACGTGTGCTGTGTTTCACTGTAAGCACACTGCTTTGTGTGGCTCTGCTATGCAGAGCCACACAAAGCAGTGTGCAGGGGCAGACAGGGGAGAGATCTGTATTGCTTACATACAGGTCTTTTCCCCATCGGAGATACTCGCAATCACCGGCTGAGATCCAATGACTGACAACCGAGGCCGTGAATGACAGCGCAGCTCGTGAGTGCCCCCTGCCCAGAACTGCAAAATCACATATATATACGTGATTTTGAGCACCCCTGTAGCAGTATTTCTGCTATAGGGCGGAGGGGAAGCAGTTAAGGGCATTTACCACTAAACAGTGTTTGTCTATTTACTGGTAGGAACCCACAGCCAGATTAAAGGTATTTTCTATTTGTGTATTTATCCATGCTTGCAGTGATTTTTAGTTACCAGGTATGTCACAGGGGCCAAGATTGTTCTTGGAGTCGAGACACAGAACGGAGAACCTATGGTTACCAAATAGTGCCTTTCGAGGGTGGCAGATTTCACTTGCGAAGACATCAGTTTTCATGTGTGCTTCCGTAAGTTTTATACACATTTCAGTCTCCTGTGCAGGAAAAAATCTGTACTAGTGCTGTGGTGTGAACAGGGCACATAGAGAACAATTATTTCATTGTGCCCTTGCAGAACACATGCAGAAAAACTGACATCTCTGCATCATGGTGTGAACCAGGGGCGGACTATTTGGAAACCCGGGCACTGCCCGAGGGGCCCAGGGTCAGTAGGGGGCCCCATGAGATGCCCCTGGTACCTTTTTCATAGGCTTTTTTGAGTTTGTGCAAGGACACGGGCCCCGTGATCTTCTATTGCCCGGGGGCCCCATGAGTTGTCAGTCCGCCCCTGGTGTGAACAGCCCTCAGTGGGAGGGGTCATAAAGGTGGTCCTTACACTTCTGTTTACCAGTGTCCACTCATCTGAAAGTAGTAACATGTAACCAGTCCTTTAGGAATAGGCATGTGTTTTTAATAATTCCCAGATGAAGTTGTCCAATTGAAAGTGTCTAATTACATCCTTAGGTGTACGGCTACTATTCATGCCCACCCCACTCCTACCACATTGTACGTTATGGCAGCAGCAGGGTATTATAATACACATCCATACACACTGCACTCATTTCCCCAGCTCTCCTTTGGTGAACTCATGACTACAAGAAATGGAAATACAACCCCTCCCACACTGTTTCTGAGGGACATGGCAGAAGCGGAAGCTTCCTCCTCAGGTGAGTCCTGTGCAGCGCTAGTGCTGCTAGCCAATGTGGGTTGCAGTGGATGGCGGAAGTGTGAGCACTTCCGGGTCGGACCCGTCATGCTGTGCTTGGGTGACGTAGTTCCATGATGGCCGAAGATCCCGGCGGAATTTTGTCACCTTCTTCTCCATTCCTGTGCCCGTTCCGTGGTCTGTAGTCATGGCCTGGACCGGCACCCCCTCACCCACAGCTCGTGTGACCCCCTCACTTGTCAAGCTGCAGCCATGCCCAGGAAAGGGAACAGAAAACGGCTGAAGTATCGGGCCGATGATGTGAGCTCCCACAGAGGTGAGAGGACAGACCACTGACAGAATGTGAAATACGTGGAGCGGTCACTGGGAGCTGAGCCACAATGTGATCATGTATCCGATCCTCCACTGATACCACTGGGGGGAGATGACCTGGGAACCTCCTTAACACCTGGAGACTGGACTACCAGAGGATTAGAGGGACCAAGAAGGACTCATAGGGGGACAGGAATATCAGGATTACAGGGACCAAGAAGGACTCATAGGGGGACAGGACTACCAGAGGATTACGGGGACCAAGAAGGACTCATAGGGGGACAGGACTACCAGAGGATTACATTGACCAAGAAGGACTCATAGGGGGACAGGACTACCAGAGGATTACGGGGACCAAGAAGGACTCATAGGGGGGGACAGGATTACCAGAGGACTACATTGACCAAGAAGGACTCGTAGGGGGGGACAGGACTACCAGAGGACTATATTGACCAAGAAGGACTCGTAGGGGGACAGGACTACCAGAGGACTACATTGACCAAGAAGGACTCGTAGGGGGACAGGACTACCAGAGGACTACATTGACCAAGAAGGACTCGTAGGGGGACAGGACTACCAGAGGACTACATTGACCAAGAAGGACTCATAGGGGGACAGGACTACCAGAGGATTACGGGTACCAAGAAGGACTCATAGGGGGACAGGACTACCAGAGGATTACGGGTACCAAGAAGGACTCATAGGGGGACAGGACTACCAGAGGATTACAGGGACTAAGAAGGATTGTTATGTCACATGATATTTGTGCAACTGTTTATTTAGGGCAAATTTTCAGGAAAAAATATAAAACTTATTTTAGTGCAAAAACACACAATAGAATACCCATTTTTGGTTAAAGTATAAAAGATGAGGTTGCATCGAGTAAATTGATACCAAACATTCCATGTCTTAACCACTTCCCGACCGACCGTTGTATATAAACGGCCGGGCGGTGGCACTGCAGGGTCGGGTGGCCGTCTATAAACGGCCTCCCCGCACCCTGCTTGTGCGCGCGCTCCCCGATCGTCGGACGGGACCTCTGTACGAGGTCCCGATCATGTGATCACTGATTGGCCAATCAGTGATCACATGCAAAGTAGTAAGCAAGATGTCACTTCTGACATCATTGCTTACTATGTGTGAAATCTGTGAATGATCACAGAGGTCACATGGTACAAGGCTATTCACAAAAGCCTTGTACCATGTGACAAGCTGTGACCAATCACAGCTCACTCAGTTCTTCTCAATGAGTGCAAGAATGCACACAGAGAGAAAGAGAAATGATTGCTTTTACATCCTATATGGGTGTAAAAGCAATCAGTGTAAAAAAAAAAAAAAAAAAAATCTTCATCACCCCTCACAAGTAGTACAGTGTCACCATGGTGACACTGTACTGCTAGGGTGAAAGTATGTAAAAAATAAAAAATAATAATATAAAAAAATAAAATAAAAATGTAAAAATAAATGTTTAAAAATTATAATTATAAATTAAAATTTTATTAAAAAAAACACTTTTTTTTCAAAATTTCTGGACATTTCATTTACATAGCAAAAAAAAATACAAATCCCAGTGGTGAATAAATACCACCAAAATAAAGTTTTATCTATCTCAAAAAAATGGTAAAAAATTCATTTGGGTACAGTGTTGCATGACCGCGCAATTGTCATTCAAAGTGTGATAGCGCTAAAAGCTGAAAATTGCCCTGGTCAGGAAGGGGGTAAAAGTGTCCGGTCTGGAAGTGGTTAAACTTGCGCACACCCGTGATATCACCATAAACTACCGTGCCCAAAAAATCACCATAGGTGAAGCTTTAAGACTCTACAGCTCATCAGTTTAGAGCCAACTACTCTAAAATTTGTGTGTGTGTGTTTTATATATGTGTGTATATTTATTTCAGGTACTTATATAGTGCCATCAATTTACGCAGCACTTTTCATATATTGTACATTCACATCAGTCCCTAACCCTCAAGGGCCAAACAATCTAAGGTCCCTAACTCACATTCATACATACTAGAGACAATTTAGACAGGAGCCAATACACCTACCAGCATGTCTTTGGAGTGTGGGAGGAAACCGGAGTTCCCAGAGGAAACCCACGCAGGCACAGGGAAAACATGCAAACTCCAGGCAGGTGGTGCTGTGGCTGGGATCCGAACCAACGACCCTAGTACTGCCAGGCGGAAGTGCTAACCATTTAGCCACTGTGCTGCCCCATGCATATGTGTGTGTGTATGTATGTATATATATATATTTTTAATTTTTACTTGATTGCCATCACAAGGTGTTAATAAACCCCCATGTGATAGCACTGGGCAGGTGACATGTACTCTTTATGGAGACATTAGGGGGTCTTAATTAGAAATGCGCCAAAAAGTTTTGGCCAAAATGAAAAAAAGCACCAATACAGGTGCCGAAAAAAAACCGCACCCCTCGCCGTCGCCCACCGACTGGCCGCCGCTCAGTAGTTCAGTCTTACTTGAGAAACCAACTATCCCGGCATTGGGCATAGAGATAGGAATTATGGCCACCACACATTTCTATTCCCTTGGAGGTCTGGAGCAACGTCACTTCTGGTTCCGGCCTAGATCAATGCTTTTTTTTAAAATCTAATACTTTACATTTCAGAGGAGAGATATGGGGTCTTATTGACCCCATATCTCTCCATAAAGAGGACCTGTCACTAATTATTTCTATCACAAGAGATGCATGCATTTCTTGTAATAAGAATAAAAGTGATTACAATTTTTTTAAAAGAAACAGTGCAAAAATAAAAAAAACATTAAATACCTTTTTTTTTTTAAAGTGCCCCCTGTGCTTGCACATAGTGGTGAACGCATACGTAGGCCATGCCCACATATGTAAATGGTGTTCAAACCACACACATGAAGTATCGCCACGAATGTCGGAGCAAGAGCAATAATTCTTGTGCTAGACATCCTCTGTAACTTTACACTGCTAACCTGTAGAAATTTTTTAAAGCATCGCCCATGGAGATTTTTAAGCAGCACAGTTTCACGGCATTCCACGAGCGTGCACAATTTTAAAGTGTGACATGTTGGGTATCTATTTACTCGCTGTAACATCCTCTTACATATTTTACAAAACAATTGGGGTATATATTGTTTTTTTTTAATGAAAGTGTATTTTTTTTCCAAAAAATATATATTCGTTTTTTAAAAACTGCGCATTTCGGTTTTGGTTTTCGGCCAAGTGCATTTTGAATTTTCGGTTTCAGCACCCAAATTTTCGGTTTCGATGCACCACTAGGTCTAATAGACCCCAATGTCCTCCCTGCCCTTCACACCATCTAACCATGCACAGATCGGCTTGGATAGATGTGTCCCCTGGCTGTACTGGCCAGGAAAGGGTGCATCCGAAACCGGAAATGGCATCACTTTTGGCGTCATTGTTTACATGTGAGATCGAGGCATGGGTTTGCTTTGGTCTCACAGCGCTCCCCCTCCCCTAGGTTGCGGTCGTGTACCTGGGCTCCGGCAAGAGCAGGAGAGCCTTGGAACTGTGGGGTGGTCACTGCGCTGCTGGCTCTGTGAAAGTGATCACCAGCTACAGAGCTGTCACATCACTTTTCACTTTTAAGCTGGCTGAACAAAAAACACACAAGCTGATGACTGCTACTGTAGTCATCGGCTTGTGATTAAGGGCAGGTTCACACTATAGAAACGCAGTCCAGATGCTTTTCTCCGGAAGGTGACTGCGTTTTTATGCATTTTTGCCACATTCCAGTGCGTTTTTATGCATTCCAGTTCATTTTTCCCCTCTTTTTCTTCAATAAAAATAGGGACATGTGCGTTTTTGTTGCGCTTTACCACGTTCCAGTACAGTTCTGTGCAGGAAAAATGCAGCATGTTCTACTTTTTTTTCCTGCACCCAGAACACACTGGAACTGCAAGCACAGATGTGAACTAAGACATTGACAACCATATAACCTACTTTCTGTGCATTTTGGATGCAGGAAAAACACAACTGAAACGCGTGTAGTGTGAACTGGCCCTAAAGGTTTACTCTTTGGATGTATTACATACATTCAAAGAGCTGAACTGGTTAAATGTGAGCAGCAAATGGTCAGTCCCTACAATACTCCTTTCAGCCAATGAACATCTGAGCTGCCACATTCTTCCACATGTGGCAGGTCTTGGTTTTTGTTCAGATCATGTGAGGGATGGGGAGATAGATCGTCAGCCTAACACTATTCATAAAACAGAACAGCCCTACCTCTGCCATATCACTGCTTTACCCACTTCAATACCGGACCCTTTCCTGCCCAGGGCAATTTTCAGATTTCGGCGCTGTCACACTTTGACAATTAGTCATGTAGCACTGTACCCATATGAAATGATAGAGCTTTCGTTTGGTGGTATTTAATCACCACTTGGGTTTTTTTTTTATTGTTTGCTAAATAAACGAAAAAAGACTGAAAAGTTTGAAGGGAAAAAAAAATTTTCTTAGGTTCTTTTATAAAATTTAGCAAATACAGTGGGGCAAAAAAGTATTTAGTTAGCCACCAGTTGTGCAAGTTTTCCCACTATAAAAGATGAGAGAGGCCTGTAATTGGCATCATAGGTAGACCTCAACTATGAGAGACAAAATGAGAAAACAAATCCAGACAATCACATTGGCTGATCTGGAAAGAATTTATTTGCAAATTATGGTGGAAAATAAGTATTTGGTCACTTACAAACAAGCAAGATTTCTGGCTCTCACAGACCTGTACCTTCTTCTTTAAGAGGCGCCTCTGTCCTGCACTCATTACCTGTATCAATGGCACCTGTTATCAGTATAAAAGACACCTGTCCACAACCTCAAACAGTCACACTCCAAACTCCACTATGATGAAGACCAAAGAGCTGTCGAAGGACACCAGAAACAAAATTGTAGACCTGCACCAGGCTGGGAAGACTGAATCTGCAATAGGCAAGCAGCTTGGTGTGAACAAATCAACTGTGGGAGCAATAATTAGAAAATGGAAGACATACAAGACCACTGATAATCTCCCTCGATCTGGGGCTCCACGCAAGATCTCACCCCGTGGGGTCAAAATGATCACAAGAACGGTGAGCAAAAATCCCAGGACCTAGTAAATGACCTACAGAGAGCTGGGACCAACGTAACAAAGGCTACCATCAGTAACACACTACGCTGCCAGGGACTCAGATCCTGCAGTGCCAGATGTGTCCCCCTGCTTAAGCCAGTACATGTCCGGGCCCGTCTGAAGTTTGCTAGAGAGCATTTGGATGATCCAGAAGAGGATTGGGAGAATGTCATATGTTCAGATGAAACCAAAATAGAACTGTTTGGTAGAAACACAACTCGTCGTGTTTAGAGGAGAGAGAATGCTGAGTTGCATCCAAAGAACACCATACCTACTGTGAAGCATGGGGGCGGCAACATCATGCTTTGGGGCTGTTTCTCCGCAAAGGGACCAGGACGACTGATCCATGTACAGGACAGAATAAATGGGGCCATGTATCGTGAGATTTTGAGTGCAAACCTCCTTCCATCAACAAGGGCATTGAGGTGAAACGTGGCTGGGTCTTCCAACATGACAATGATCCCAGGCAACGAAGGAGTGGCTTCGTAAGAAGCATTTCAAGGTCCTGGAGTGGCCTAGCCAGTTTCCAGATCTCAACCCCATAGAAAACCTTTGGGAGAGAGTTGAAAGTCCGTGTTGCCCAGTGACAGCCCCAAAACATCACTGCTCTAGAGGAGATCTGCATGGAGGAATGGGCCAACATACCAGCAACAGTGTGTGCCAACCTTGTGAAGACTTACAGGAAACGTTTGACCTCTGTCATTGCCAACAAAGGATATATAACAAAGTATTGAGATGAACTTTTGATATTGACCAAATACTTATTTTCCACCATAATTTGCAAATAAATTCTTTCCAAATCAGCCAATGTGATTGTCTGGATTTATTTTCTCATGTTGTCTCTCATAGTTGAGGTCTACCTAGGATGCTAATTACAGGCCTCTCTCATCTTTTTAAGTGGGAGAACTTGCACAATTGGTGGCTGACTAAATACTTTTTTGCCCCACTGTAAGTAATTTTCCTTCTTCACCGATGTGCACTTATGAGGCTGCCCTCATAATCGGGGACACTGTTGAGGCTTCCCCGATGATCGGGGACACTGTTGAGGCTTCCCCGATGATCGGGGACACTGTTGAGGCTTCCCCGATGATCGGGGACACTGTTGAGGCTTCCCCGATGATCGGGGACACTGTTGAGGCTTCCCCGATGATCGGGGACACTGTTGAGGCTTCCCCGACGATCGGGGACACTGTTGAGGCTTCCCCGACGGTCGGGGACACTGTTGAGGCTTCCCCGACGGTCAGGGACACTGTTGAGGCTTCCCCGACGGTCAGGGACACTGATGAGGCTGCCCCGACGGTCAGGGACACTGATGAGGCTGCCCCGACGGTCAGGGACACTGTTGAGGCCTCCCCGACGGTCAGGGACACTGTTGAGGCCGCCCCGACGGTCAGGGACACTGATGAGGCCGCCCCGACGGTCAGGGACACTGATGAGGCTGCCCCGACGGTCAGGGACACTGATGAGGTTGCCCCGACGGTCAGGGACACTGATGAGGTTGCCCCGACGGTCAGGGACACTGATGAGGCTGCCCCGATGGTCAGGGACACTGTGTATCAGTGTAAAGTACTGTACTCACTGTGCACTGCACAGATCCAGCTCTCCCTCACACAAGGTCTCTGTTTGAGGAAAGAAGGGCAGATAACTGGCAAAGGAATTGGGTCTGTTTACAATGACAGCTGTGATTGGACACAGCTGATGACATGTTAAAGGGCCATTGTGATTGGCCCTTTACCTCAATCTGTGATCTGCTGTGTCCAAGGCACACAGCAGTCACAGAGCGCTCCCAAAGCGCACCACCCAGAATTGGAAAGCCTTTCTGTAGCCGTATATCTGTTATAGCGTGGTGGGGAAATTGTTAAAAAAAGGCACATTTATAAAGCACGACACTGTGCTTTACAAACCTGCACTCTTTTGCTTGCTTAGACATCCCAAATGAGAAATGAGCATGTTATCCTATCATGGTAGGCTCTTGGTAAAATTATGATGAGGACACTCTGAAGGACACCATTCTCCATAGTCCATACAGGTAGTAAAGCGTTATTAAATATTCAAAATCATAAATGCAATAATATTATGTAAACAATATCATTATACATAGTCCATAATGTTCGGTGCAACAATACTGTCTCTTATCAGTGTCAGAGTACTACTCTTCATAAAAATTATGTCAGTTCACACACTGTGCTCCCCGCCAGTGTTCCCACTCACTCACCGACTTCAGTGGACTCTTATAGTTAAATAAGAGTTTGTTGCACTTAATGAAAAATCCGACTCTGCTGAGTCTTGTTGTAGTCCTTGATTCAGACGATCTCATATACCAGGGTGTTCCAATTGTACAGTCACAGAAAATGGATGCTCACATGTGGGGAATAAAGGATGGGGTCAGATAGTGTAATTCCATTTATTTGTTAAAGCACAGTGCAAGTTTCACTCACATGTAATAAAACGAACCAAGCATAACAGCCGGACCAGAAGTGATGCACCACCATGCGTTCCACCGGTCGGAAATACCTTCACCATAGCTCACAGCTGATGCATTTTGCCTCTCCTTGGCGGAGAGCACAGCGTATTAACTGAGACCATTTTTATGAAGAGTAGTACACTGGCACTGGTAAGAGAATATTGTTGCACTAAACATGATGGGACTATTTATAATGATATTGATTTACGTAATATTGTTGCACTTATAGTTTTGGATATTTAACCACTCGCCCTCCTGAGGATTTACCCCTTCCTGACCAGGCAATTTTTTGTATTATGGTGCTGCTTCACTTTAACTGACAATTGCGCAGTCATGCAACGCTGCACACAAATTAAATTTGCATCCTTTTATTCCCAGAAATTGAGCTTTGTTTTGGTGGTATTTGATCATTTGTGCAGTTTTTCTTTTTTCTGCTACAAAAAAAAAGGCCGACAATTTTGAGAAATAAACAATATTTTTTACTTTTTTCTATTAAACATGTCCAGTAAAATAATGTAAAAAATCTAATTTTGCCCAAAATGTATTCTATACGTCTTTGCTAAATGAAAAAAAATCCCAATACGTGTAAATTAATTGGTTTACGTGAAAGTTATAGCGTTTACAAATGGCGGTATATGGGGTTTTTTTGTTAATTTTTACTAGTAATGGCGGCAATCAGCGACCTATTGTGGGGGACTGCGGTGGACATTCTGACACTGGGGGGAACTGACTTGGTGTCACTGACATCCCCAGTGACACCAATACAGAGATCAGTGCTAAAAAAAAAGCACCAACACTGTACTAATGGCACTGGGCAGGAATGGGTTAACTGTGCTGGGAGTGTTTTTACTAGGGGTCGGTGTCAGTATGCTTCACTGTAAGCACACTGCTTTGGATGGCTGTGCTGTGCACAGCCATCCAAAGCAGTGTGCCCGAGCTGACAGGGAGGAGAACTACTAGTAAACCTACCTGTATTTGCACATTTAAAAGGGTCAGTACCCTTTGTAGAAGCTGCAGCCATTGTTTATTCACATTGTTTGCTATTGTTTTGTTTGAGTATTCTTTTTTAAAGTACTACGGATATAGGTCTTTATTACTCTCCATACTCTGGCTTGCATTTTTTTAAAATTGTTCCTAAAATGCAGGCACTGTGTGAAGTAAACACTGCAGCATCCTACGGATAGTGCTTCATTCTCCCCTTTTTAAATCGCCCTCCTTTGTATAGCAGAGATGTTAGTATTCCCCTTTCCACAAACGCTTTGGGCTATATCCTCATAATTGTAAATCTGATATAGGCCCCTTTCACACGGGCATTCTGTTTGTCCGTTTTTTCATCTGTCCATTTACGGATGAAAAATGGATCCCCATGTATTTCTATGGACTTGCAGATGTAAACGGATGAACATCTTTTTACATCCGTTAAGGTCTGCATCCATTTTTTTGAACGGGAGAAAACCCTATTTTTCTTCCACAAGAAAACCCAGAAACAGACAAAAAATGGATGTCAACGGATGTAAACGGCCCGAAAACGGATGTAAACTCATCCGTTTTATCTTTGAAAAAATGGGACTGAACTGAAGAAAAAAACAGAACACTCATGTGAAAGGACCCTAACTTGTGTGACAGAACGTATGCTACAGTTTTATCTTTGTTTACACTTCTGAGTAAAATTGTCATTGATGTGAATGGACTTTTGTTTTTAGTTACTGTGGCAGATTATGCAAATTCAAATCCAAAAGTTGTAAAGTCTGGAAGAATAAAAAAGGCGGTGGCCAATGCTGTTCAAAAAGAAGGTGAGTACATAATCAGTTGATTGAGACAAAATGTTCTGATACTGTTTACACAATGGCAGATTATTTTTATCCCTAAATGGAAATTGAGCCAAAACTATTTTAAAGTGGAACTTTAGTCGTAAAATAAAGTCCTGCTAGATCACTTCATGTTGGCCCCTTTTGCAGGTATAGCTATGTAAAACATTTAAAATAAGTGTCTATACTTTTCAAAAGCCAGTAATGCATTGTCGCTCCCTGCTCTGCATATGCTCGTTTGTTCTCTATTTTTAGGCATTGTGCTGAATTTGTAGAGATCGATCTACTGATAGCCTAAAGATTTACTGCTACTTAGGAGCCCTGGACTTCAACAAAATGTCAGCCTCCAGCAAGACAAAACAGGAACAATGCTGGAGGCACAAACTAATATTGGTAGCATAATTATTAATGTTGGATGTATGTTTCTTGCTAAAGAACATAATTTTTTATCTAGTTATGGGTAAACTTCCACTTTAATTTGGCAAATGGTTAGCTCCTTTGTTAGGTATTTATTGCTACCCATGTCCCAATTGGTGATCACACAGTGACAAGACATCTCCCCACTGTTTATCTATAGCCATCGTTCCTCTACATTCATTTAGAGTGCAGCATCTCTCAGCTCTGAAAAGCAAGAGGTGGTGGGAAGCTGAAGTTTCATCAGAAGAGAGCTCTGTTGGTTGAAGGGAAGGGACACCTCCCCTTCACACAAGAACAGAGCTGAGGCTGTCAATCTTAGGCTGTGCCCTCCCCTGTCACCATTTTTCTCTTGGTGTCAGGAAAACTTTTCAGGAGTGTCTCATGCTGATAGCAGAGGACAGCAATAACACTTAGTGTTCTGGACTGAGACACACAATATAGAGGGATATGCTTTGTTCATATTTAATGTCTGAGGGTTACAACCACTTTACGTTACTATGTGATGCATAAACCTTATAAAGTTAACCAAAAAACTTCCTTGATTGAGCCAAGTCTTCTTTCGTTTCTGTCTCACAATCTCCCCCTTCAAGACACTGCAGTTCACAGTGGGAGGGTTTCAGCTACACAGGCAGTACAGTCGACCCAGAAAATGATATGCTAGGTGTGTCCAGGGGCTGATAGATAAGTTTCAGCCTTGTAAATCAGTGACCAATTTAAAGGGATGCCATAGTTCTTTTTTTAGTAGCTGACATAGGCTCTAATCCTTTGCTATTGTATGCAAAATAAACTAAATGTAATATACAAGTAGCATAAGTACCTGAATTTGTATTGATGTTTGGTCAGGTAGTTTACAATATGATTGTAGAAGCTCCTAAAGATTTGCCAAAACTATATAATAGGTGGGCACCCCAATTTATTCAGTCAGTCTGTATCCAATCATAGTTGATGGTAGATCTAAAGCAGGTTGTACAATCAGATTGTATGGTGAGCTTAAAACTGCAGGTGATGTCTAACCATGTAATTAACTCACCAGTGGTTCCTCTTGTGTTCTGCCCTTTTTGACCTTAGGGTCTTAGAAATAATCTTTAAAAGAGAACAAGTTTTTTAGTATGCTATAGCAACATGACCCCCTCTGTGTTTTTATGGTCCCTGCAATAGTGAAAGCACTTTGTGGTCTTGAAGCTTCGCAAGTGCCTACTGAAGATGGGTTATCTATATTATCAGAGAATGGACAACATTATGGAAGCAGTGATGAACTGGAGGATAGTGAAAATCAAAATGGTACTTCTTCTAGGAAAAAGAAAAGTAGAAATCATAAAGGTAAGACGGATCACTATTTTATATACACTGATACACTTTGTGACAGCTGGCAGGTTAAGTGGATAACACTGATTATACTGTAATAATGGCATCTGAAAAGTCAGTGGATGTATTAGGCAGCAAATTAACATATTGATGCTTTTGAAAGCAGAAAAATGTGCATGCGTGTGTCTCAACTGGGCCATAGATCAGTGCAAGAAACTAGCCTGGTTTGATCAATCACATATGGATGGCCGGGTGTATATGCTTCGCTTACCTGGGAAAGAGATTGCACCAGGATGCTGTATGGGAAGAAGGCAAGCCGGTGGAGATATTGTGAGCTTGGACAATGTTCTGCTGGGAAATCTTGGGCCCTACCATTCATGTGGATGTTACTTGACATGTACCACCTACCTAATTGTTGCTGAGCAAGTACATCCTTTCATGGAATCTGTATTCCTCATGGCAACGGCCTCTTTCAGCAGGATAATTTGCCCTGCTACACTGTAAGAATTGTTCAAGAAAGATTTGGGGAACACAACATCGAGTGACAGCTTCCTGGTAGGATAGCACAGGTGGGCTCCGCTCTACTATGCATCTTTACTACATACTAAGGTTTCCTTTTCTTTTACAGTGGATATAAAGTTTTAACACCCCTGTTAAAATGTCAGCTTTTGTGATGTAAAAAATTTGACAAAAATAACTCATTTCAGAACTTTTTCCACCTTTAATGTAACCTATAAATTGTACAACTCAATTAAAAAACAGACTGAAATATTTTAGGTGGAGGGAAGTAAAAATAAAAAGCAAAAATAATATGGTTGCATAAGTGTGCGCACCCTTAAACTAATACTTTGTTGAAGCACCTTTTGATTTTATTCCAGCACTCAGTATTTTTGGGTATGAGTCTATCAGCATGGCACATCTTGACTTGGAAATATTTGCCCACTCTTCCTTGCAAAAACACTCCAAATTCGATGGGATTCAGGTCTGGGCTCTGGCTGGGCCATCCCGAAACTTTAATCTTCTGGTGAAGCCATTCCTTTGTTGATTTGGATGTATGCTTTGAGTCATTGTCATGATGAAAGATGAAGTTCTTCATGTTCAGCTTTCTAGCAGAAGCCTGAAGGTTTTGTGCCAATTGACTGGTATTTGGAGCTATTCATAATTTCCTCTGACTAAGGCCCCAGTTCCAGCTGAAGAAAAACAGCCCCAAAGCATGTGGCTGCCACCACCATGCTTCACTGTGGGTATGGTGTTCTGTTGGTGATGTGCAGTGTTGTTTTTGCGCCAAACATATCTTTTGGAATTATGGCCACAAAGTTCAACCTTGGTTTCATCAGACCATAACACATTTTCCCACATGCTTTTGGGAGACTCCAGATGTGTTTTTGCTAAATTTAGCCGGGCTTGGATGTTTTTGTTTGTAAGAAAAGGCTTCCGTCTTGCCACTCTACCCCATAGCCCAGATATATGAAGAATACAGGAGATTGTTGTCACACAGACAGTACTGTGGTACTTGTTGTACCACACAGACAGTACTTGCCAGATATTCCTGCAGCTCCTTTAATGTTGCGGTAGGCCTCTTGGCAGCCTCCCAGACCAGTTTTCTTCTCATCTTTTCATCAATTTTGGAGGGACGTCCAGTTCTTGGTAATGTCACTGTTGTGCCATATTTTCTCCACTATACGATGACTGTCTTCGCTGTGTTCCATGGTATATCTAATGCCTTGAAAATTCATTTGTACTCTTCTCCTGACTGATAACAATGAGATCCCTTTGATGCTTTGGAAGCTCTCTGCGAACCATGGCCTTTACTGTAGGATGCCACTAAGAAAATGTCAGTAAAGACCTACTAGAACAGTTGAACTTTATTTGGGGTTAATCAGAGGCACTTTAAATGATGGCAGGTGTGTACCGACTCCTATTTAACATGATTTTGAATGTCGGGTGTGGACATTTTTGATTTGAAAAAACTACTTGTCCAAGGGACTAAATCGGGGCCCCAATCTACTTGTTCCTCATGACAATCTACTTGTCCAGATTAAAAAAAAAAAATGTTAACCAAAACCGTTAGGAATGTTTTAAAAACAAAGGGGGTTTTATGGTGACCTAAACGTTTAATATTTTTAACATTGCGCTTCTCCTCCCCTCCCTGCCTGTCTCCAGCACCGCACTCAAGGACTAGCAGGGAGCAGACAGACCTTGCAGTGTAATGAGCACTGATTGGCTGCTCGTCAAGAAAGGTGGGTCAGGGCTTATCCTTTATCCCTTTCGCTGCCAGAGCTGGGTTTTTTTTTTTTTTTTTAGGCCTGAAGATTATATAAAACCCCCTAACATGATATATTTTCTGAAATCAGACACCCTAGAGAATAAAATAGTGGTAGTTCCAATTTTCTATGTCGCATGATATTACCGCAAAATTTTAGTAAAAAATACAAGTTAATTAATTTTAGGGCACAAAAAAGCAATAAATTACCCTATTTTTTTGTAAAATATAAAAGATGAGGTTTCAGCGAGTAAATAGATATCCAACTTGTCAAACCTTAAATTTGTGTGCACTCATGAAATGGCAGCGAACGTCAGTACCCTATATTTTCTATAGGTGACACTTTTAAAGCCCCTTCTAGGTCATCAGTTTAGTGTTACGGAGGAGGTCTGGTGCTAGAATTATGCTCTCAATTATGCTCTCATTCTGGCGTGCACGGTGATATGTAACATATGTATCGCAATCAACGTTTTTTCAGGCGTAGGCGCCCCAGTGTGTGCTTTTACGCTTTTTGTATATGTGTGTTTGTAGGGGGGGGGGGCTCATTTTTTTTTTTGTGGGGGGGGGGGATGTTATGTGCTTGGGTGTAACTTTAATTTTTTACGATTTAAAAAAAAGAACTTTTTTTTTTTTTTTACTTTTTTTTTCATCACATAGGGGACAATGTTTTGGTGACAGATTCTCTTCATTGAGACATCCAAGGTCTAAAAGACCCTGGATGTCTCCCCTCTGCTCCCATGAATGTAATCCAGTGCGCATCGGATTGTATTACACACTTTCCCGGCCTCAATTGCCAGGAATATGTGAATGGGGACCTGGAAGTGATGTCAAACGTGTCCTTCCCCTCTAGCTGTCGGCGGTGAGCCGGTCCTGGGCCCCGCAGATGGGCAAGCCTCACAGAAACCTGACATTTTAACAGGGATGTGTAGACTTTTTATATCCACTGTACCTTTTGAGTGGAGACAGTATATAATTCCTAGCAGGTTTTTTTTTTTGGTATGTGTGCCCTTAGGGGAGATTTTCCCTTCTGTCAGGACAGGAAGTTATGGGAAATCTTTGCAGTAGGAACACAGATTAAAGCACATATTTTTTTCAGTAAAATGGGCTTGGGGAGACACTAATTGTACTGATCTTAGGCTGCGTTCAGACTAGCCGTTGGGGGGAGTTTATAAACAGGTGGTTAAGCCAGTTTTTAATGCCCTCAATCGCATCCCTTAAGCTGCAATGGCCGTGAATGGGGGTGTTTCCATGCCGCAATCGCTAAGCTTTGTGTCTGTGAAAAAAAAAAACATCTAACATGTTGCAATTGGTTCACGTTGCCTCTTCACTACCTATCAGTAGCCTTTGAAAAGCAATCTGAGCCTAGACACATGTCTAAGCCTAGCCTTAGAGGGACATAAAGTAAGGTTAACTCTCCTCATCATGTTAATCAGCTTCAGCGTTGGCTAATAGGTGAACACTAGGGGCATCATTGGGCTAATTAGAATTTGCTACAGCAGCAGCCAGCAATGGAATCCTAGGGTTCCTCAACCCCAGTCAAAGCACTGCTTTGTCAAAGGGAAAGAGCAGAGGGAGATTACAGTACAAAAATGTGCCTGAGCACTATGTAGTCTACTAGTATTGTTCTCAGAAAAAATTGGCTTGAACAGATATATATTTATTTTTCAGAGACATCTGTAGATGACAGAACTGGAGGTGTCTATCCTATCGACATTTGGCATGTCCTTGCCAACTACATAAGACCTGAAGATGTTTTGACATTTGCTCTTATTTGTAAGAAAGCTTGGACCGTTACTTGCACTGCTGTCTTTTGGATGAGATTGTACAAAAGGTGTGATAAGTAGTGTAGAATATTAATGATGCAGCTTATAGTTTAATCACTTTAAAGGGCAAGTCCCCCCAAGATTGATATTTCAGATTTTGGTAGATGTCAAGTAGGTAAACCACCTAATGTGTTTTCTTTCCTTTTTTTTTTCTCTTTTTTTACCTTTTGAGGACCTAGGTGGCGAGACCTCATTTCTTTAGTTCACAAGTCTGTATATTTCCAGCAGCTATTACAATCTTCTTCCTTTATATTGAATTCATTTTACTTTTAAGTAGGAGTGACAACAAGCATGGTGGGTGCAAACACCCAGAATTCCAATGTGACCTTGCTTAAACCCAGAATTTATTACAGGAAGATCTCTTTGCTGCAATCCCAAGTTTTAAGAAACTGTGTGTATTGGCCTATCCATTTCAACCTATAACTGAAATATCACTTTTTGGAGGACAGGTCATTAAAAGAAAAAAAAAATAGCACATTGTTTTTTTCTGATGTATGACTTTTTAATGTGGAGTGGCCTTCTTTAAGGGAAATTCAGGATTATCATGCTGTTCTTAAAGCAGAGCTCCACCCAAAAAGGGGAAGTTCCGCTTTAAGGCTTTGTCCCAGCTCCCTGTTAAGGACTGGCACCTTTGGGGAGTGCGTAGGGGGTACCCAAATTTGACAGGCACCTGTTCCCATTCGCTGAGATCACCTAGGTGATTGGAAGCAGGGGTTGTCCTACCCTCACCCCCTCCCCGTAGTCTTGGTCCCAGAAGACTACAGGACCATTCACCATGTGCAGTGGGCACCCAGCTGTGAAGCCGCAAGCTGTCACAGCCAGGTGCCCACACTGAAGATGACGGCGTCGAGGACAGGACTGTCGGTCAACCCGTCCGGTGTGAGGACACCGAGGGATCAAGGGACAGGTGAGTGTCCATTTTTTAAAAGTCATCAGCTACTGTTTTTGTAGCTGTTGACTTTTATTTTTTTTTTTTTAATTCCAAATCGACCTCCACTTTAAACACTTGTCTATCAAGGTATGCTTTTAAATGTCATGGTAGACAAGTGGTTGAATCAAGCTCACAGCTGCAAGCTTGATACCAGCTTTAAGAGCAGACGAAGGGCTTTCTGATAAAAATGACTGGATGGCTCCAGAGCTGCCCAACCACTTTTATGGGGCTGTCAAGTGCATCCCCCCACCGTCGGCACCCATGGTGGTTCTCGGGTTCTTCCTTTCCACTGGGGAGGCCAGGACCCCCTAATAGACCCCCAATGTCTAAATAAACAGCACCTGTCCGTGCTATCTCATATGGGGCTTGTTAGACCCCTTCTGGTAGCAGTAAAATGAAAGTATTTTTAAAAAAATTATATGAAATTTAAAAAAAAAATTTTTTTAAAGCAAGCACTGCACACACCCTTTATAAAAAGTGCACCTCATGGCGAGCACAAACAGGTAAATGTCAATTGCGAAACACATGTGAGGTATCATTATGAACATCAGAATTAGAGCAACAATACTAGGGCCATAAATCACAGTAAATGTTTTTAGACTTGACATTTTTGTATCTATTTACTCGATGCATCACAATATTTTATATTTAACCAAATAATTGGTTGTATTAGTATTTGTTTGCACTAAAATTCATTTTAGTGTATTTTTTCCTGAAAATGTGTTTGAGAAATAACTGCCCAAATATCAAGCAACATGGAAGAATTGCAACTACCGCTATTTTTTTTTTTTTTTCCTCCAGGATCGCTGTTTTCACAAATTATATATGTGTGGGGAGGTTTACTGTAAGTTCTACCAAAAAATGCAGATTTTAGAATGTGTGTCAAAAATGAAAAAAAAAAATTGTCCCAGCAGACAAATGGTTAAACTATAGAAAAGTTCTAAATTCCCTTCAGAGTTATTACTACCCAGAGGAACTCAGTCCAGAGTACTGTAAGAGTAGCCTGTGATGTGTGGCCAGTGATGATTCAACCCTTAGGGGGGGTGTAATGGACAATCTGGGCTTGCAGGAAGTGGGCAGGAAAATATGACTGGTGTAAGATTTTGAATTCTGAACCCACCTTTCATGGCTACAGCAGTGTCCTATGGGCACAGAAAATTCCTTAATTGTTGCTATGGCCTCAAAGCACATGCAGTTGCCAGTGGCAATCCACTCATTGCCAGAAAAGCACAAAATTGGTTAACAATATGAATATTTAAATTCTAACATAAATCTAGAGAAGACCATGAAAGCCAAGCTAATATATAGTCCAGGACCGTAAAAGGCTATGCCTGTGCGCCTAATTCCTTGCCTGGATTATGCTACAACCCTGACAGAATGACCACACCAAAAATCTCAAACGACACAGTCGCGCGCTGGAGTGACTATGGCGCAAAACCAGATCCCAACAAGCGTTCACCCGATATAAATCTGCCTTCCTAACCTACACTTCCTCCCTCCACGCTGCCAAGCAAGCCTACTTTGTTATCCTCATTAATACCTTCTCCTCCAGTCCTCGCCGGCTCTTCTCTACTTTTAACTCTCTACTCTCTCTGCCCCCACCTTCACCCAGTACCTCACTCACCGCCCACGAGATTGCTAACCATTTCAAAAACAAGATCGACGCAACTCGTAGGGACATCGCCACTGCTCAGACTTCCACCCCACCAAGCATCCCTCACACCAAAACCCCCTCAACACTCCACTCCTTCGACCTCGCCACTGCCCAGACTTCCACCCCACCTAGCATTCCTCACACTGAAACCCCCTCAACACTCCTTCGACCTCGCTACTACTGAAGAGGTCACTAAGGTCTTCTCTGAAGCTCGCCTCACAACCTGCCCCCTTGACCCGGTCCCCTCACAACTCCTACGATCACCCTCTTCCTCCATCCTACGCTCCCTCACACACATCTTTAATCTTTCCCTCTCTACTGGCACATTCCCCTCCCCTCTGAAGCACGCGCACATCACTCTCCTACTTAAAAAACCTTTCCTGGATCCCACCGACCTGAACAACCTTAGGCCCATCTCCCTGCTGTCATTTACATCCAAACTCCTAGAGTGCTTAGTTTATAATCGCCTGAGTTCCCACCTCACCGACAACAACCTCCTTGATCCCCTACAGTCTGGCTTCCGCCCCCTACACTCCACCGAAACTGCCCTACTCAAACTCACCAACGACCTGCTAACCGCCAAAGCTAGTGGCCACTATTCAGTGCTCCTACTCCTCGACCTCTCTGCGGCTTTCAACACGTTTGACCACCCCCTCCTCCTCAAACAAGTACACTCTCTTGGCCTCAGAGACTCTGCTCTTTCCTGGCTCTCTTCCTATCTATCACAGCGCTCCTTCAGTGTTACCTATAACGCTCCCTTCACTCCTCTCTATTGGGCTCCTCTTCACTCCACCTCTCTGGAGTCCCTCAAGGTTCTGTCCGCGGGCCCCTTCTCTTCTCCATCTACACCTCCTCCCTTGGCCAATTGATACACTCTCACGTCTTCAACTACCATCTCCATGCCGACGACACGCAAATCTGTCTCTCTATCCCTCACCTCACCCCTTCAGTCTCCACTCGTATCACAAGCCTACTGAGCGACATATCGCACAGGATGTCACTCCACTTCCTCAAACTAAATCTGTCCAAAACTGAGCTCCTAGTCTTGTACCACTATCCCCTCCCTCCTAGATTGTAAGCTCCAAGGAGCAGGGCCCTCGAACCCCTCGTGTATTGAATTGTATTGTTACTGTACTGTCTCGTGTATTGTCTCCCTTTATAAAGTACAGCACTGAGCAAACTGTTGGCGCTATATAAATCCTGTATTATAATAATAATTAGCAGAGACTTGACAGTTCTTGACATCTTTCAGATCTCTAACATTAATTTTAGATTTTGAAAAGAAACGTGCAGTGCCTAAGTGATCAAAAATGGATATAACAATCTTATAATTAAAAAACAATGTGTAAATAATATACAGGTGTACCTCGGTTTACGAAGGCCTCAGTTAACATAATTTTTCGGTTTACGAATGACAATCCATTGAAAATAATACCTCGGTTTACGAATTTTTTTTGCAATACGAACAGATTAATTGGTTTTCAATGCATTTTTTTCATGTCTCTGTACATTACTATGCCTTTAAAGTACACTTTATAAAGAGTTTTGAACAGATAAAATACTTTTTTTTTCTTTTTTCTGACCTCCGAAATGGATTAATTGGTTTTTAATGCATTCCTCTTGGAAACTGCGTTTCGGTTTATGAATTTTTCGCAATACGAAAAAACCGAGGTATGCCTGTACATATGACTAAAGTAACCAACAAAATCATGACTTTAAAAAGTTCCACAAACATTTGACTCTTCCTAGTGGTAAATAATAACTCCAACAGTTGTCCGCATGTAGTATTCATTCAACAGTCCAAATATATAACCACGTATTGCTCCAAACCACCACCTTTGCATACTCACCAGCTGCATCAGAAAGGCAGCAGTGTTTTTAGTGCAGACAGGGCATAACAGTATGGGAATCCTTCTACATTGTAATCCTCCACTTGCACAGGGGGCCTCCATCCTAGGAGGAACGCACACCACACCGGAGCCACAGAAAAAGGTATATAGAGTAGTAATTTATTCATAAAATCAGCTTCTGTCCATCCATAAAATCCATACACCAAAGCTACAGGTATAGCAGAGTGTAACTCTACATGTGGGGGCATTTACTTACTAAGATGGCCACCGGTCGCAGAAGTGGCGACATGACGGGAGCTTCTCCCACGTGTTTCATGCACATGCATGTCTTCAGGCGATACTCTAGTATTACATTGGGGTTTGTATACTTGCCTTACTTGCTAGATGCCTTACACTTGTCTTGACTTCAGAAGCTAAGAAGGGTCAGGCCTGGTTAGTACTTGGATGGGAGACTGCCTTACCTTGCTTGCTAGCTACATAAATGTGCTCTTTTTCCCTAGTGCTGACTATTCCTTTTCAGTTTATTCATTTTAAATTGTATTGAGTTATGCTATGTGAAAAGTGTAAACAATAGATATATTCTTGAACCTCTTAGCTAAGTAGCAGAAGAAATTGGACCTTTCAGTGTTAGTACCTCTTAGTTTGATATTTTACCTCTTTAATGATGTCAGAAACCAGTGCAAATTGACAGATTGATGTGTGTGATCATATTTACTACATCACATCCACCGATATAGTGTTTAATTGACCTTCGAATGCAAGCATTTCCAAGACCACATAAATACAGTTTTGTGTCCCAGAAATACATTGTACACACGGGTCCGGGTAAATGCTATTAAACAGAATCATCATCATTTACATGTGTACAGCCGCCTACAGCCATTCACTTGTACACAGGGCTGTATGTGGCACTTGTGGCTCCTTGGGTGTGAGAAAAAAACACAGAATTTTACACTGTGTATATGTTTTAAAAGAAATACCATGGAAATGCAGGTGCTTTCAAAACCGTACTTTAAAGATAGTGTAACAATACAAACTTTTTTCTTGATGAAAATGTGTGTATGCAGTGAAACCTAGGTTGGACTTGAAATCTAATTCTCTGTATTAGTTACCTTAAGAATACAAATTAATAAAAGTAAACAAAGTTTAATTTTGTTAGTTCTAATGATTTTGCTTTATTTTTTGCAGACATTACAGAACGAGCGCCTACCTTCCCGTTCGTCTTCTTCCAGAGTGTATGTACAGGCTGAGATCTTTACGTGCATGTGTTATCCGTTCCTTGTATCACATGTACGAGCCGTTTAGTTCAAGAGTTTCTAAAAATCCAGCATTACCCGAGTCAACACCTAGCACTTTATTGAATTCTAAAGTAAGTTTTTTTTTTTTTGGTTTTTTTTTTTTCTTTGTTTTTTTTTTTTTTTTTTTTTTTTTTTTTGGGTTTGCATGTCTTTTTATAAATAATGTAGTGCTGCACGACTAATTACGCAACCATTCCATAATGACATACATATTGGCAGTAAAAGTGAGGAACATCTTAATATATGTATCCTCTCATACAAGCACCTTGACTTGTTTCAGCTCAGCTCAATTTGCTGTTCTTGCAAAAATGTTAATAAAATGGGCAGCACAATGGCTAAATGGTTAGCACTTCCGCCTGGCAGTACTAGGGTCGTTGGTTCGAATCCCAAGCACGGCACCACCTGCCTGGAGTTTGCATGTTCTCCCTGTGTCTGCTTGGGTTTCCTCCGGGTACTCCGGTTTCCTCCCACATTCCAAAGCCATGCTGGTAGGCTAATTGGATCCTGTATAAATTGGCCCTAGTATTTGTATGTATGAATGTGAGTTAGGGACCTTAGATTGTACACCCCTTGAGGGTAAGGGACTGATGTGAATGTACAATATATATATGTAAAGCGCTGCATAAATTGACGGCACTATATAAGTACCTGAAATGGGGGCGCACTGCCCGAGGGCCCGGGGTCCATAGGGGGCCCCATGAGATGCCCTTGGTACTTTTTTCATAGGCTTTTTTGAGTTTGGGCAAGGACACAGGGGCCCCATGATCCCCTATTGCCCGGGGGCCCCATGAGTTGTCAGTCCGCCCCTTACCTGAAATAAATAGTTGCAGTCTCAAATGCAGGTGGAATGTTTGATTTTCTGTAGTATTGTCATTGTCCACTAGAGGTCCTCTGTTCTATATAACATAATCTCAGGGTCACTGTATTTGCTTACATGTCAGCCCTTTTTTTTTTTTTTTTTTTTTTTTTTTTTTTTTTTTTTTTTTTTTTTTTTTTTTTTTTTTATTGATGAGGATGTTTGGTAAAAGGTAAGTTTAATGCATTGCATATGCCATGGCTCTCATGCTTTTTATTTCAAGCCGGACCCTAGTGACTTTGCCCTTTATTTTAGCAACTTGTGGAGTACATAGAATGTCTATTGTAGAAACTCCATAATGTTAGCATCTTCAGTTAGCCTTGTATGTACTTAAAATGTGTGAGGAAGTTGCATGCTTGGCCACAGAGTTACATAACTGATGAGTTGATCAACCTCCTGAAGTCACCCTGTGGAGTTTTGACATAAGCGTAAGTTTTTCACTTGAAACAAAAACAAGTCAAGATCCCTTAAGTTGGTACACAAGAGAAGCTTGTTATGTGGCAACAAACAATAAAATTCTGAGAAGTTTTTCTATTGCCCAGTAATTCTAAGTGCTGGGTAATTTTTACTGATGAATAGACAACCTGATTTCTCCATACGCTTGATTCCTAATAACACAGATGTCTACCACTTACTTCTGACATACATTTCCAATTCAATACACATCATACCACAGAATATATTTGCTTCTTATTTATACACTACATTTATTATGCATTGCCACTCACAACTGTGTTGTGCTTGTTATTGTCATCATCATTTAAGCCTCTTGGTTTTAGCACATTGTATTTATTAATCCAGTACGTCACTCTTACTGGTGTATTACCTCAGTCTTTCCTCCTGCACAGACTACATTCTAGACTTGTACTGTTTAATACTAATTTGTGGAAGGAAAGCTTTCATGTGTATGTTCCTCTGAATAACAGATCACCACCTGTACAGTGCAATTGTAAAAGTGAGAATGAATTATAGAGATACTCTCTTTTAACCACTTCAAGTCCGGACACTTTCACCCCCTTCCTGCCCAGGCCAGTTTTCAGCTTTTAGTGCTATCACACTTTGACAATTGTGCGGGCATGCAACACTGTAACCCATATGAATTTTTTAGTATTTTTTTGAGACAGATAAAAGTTTATTTTGGTGGTATTTATTCAGTGGGATTTTTATCTTTTTTTTGCTATATAAATGAAAATGTCCAAAAAATTAAAAAAAGTGTTTTTCTTATAAAAATTTTGCAAAGCTTTCTTCATAAGTCTTTGTCAAAATTTATTCAGTTATCCTCTTTTTAGTACAAAAAAAAAACCCAAATTAGTTTATAACCAAAATTTATAATTTTTCAAAAAAAATTTTACTTTTTTTTTTTTTTTTTTATAACATACTGTCACCCTAGCAGTATAGTGTCACCATAGAGACACTGTACTACTTGTGGGGTTGATGAAGAAGAATTTTTTTTTTTTTTTTTAGTAACACTGATTGCTTTTACTCCCATAAAGGCTGTAAAAGCAATAATTCTTGCAGCCATTGAGAAATACTGTGCAAGCTGTGATTGGTCACAGCTTGTCACATGGTACAAGGCTGTTGTGAATAGCCTTGAACCATGTGATCTCTGTGATCATTCCCAGATTTCACACATAGTAAGCAATGATGTCAGAAGTGACATCTTGCTTACTACTATTCATGTGATCACTGATTGGCCAATCAGTGATCACATGATCGGGACCTCACACAGAGATCCCGTACAACGATCGGTGTTTCGCTGTGTCCAGAGGAGCGCACACAATCAGGGAAGCGGGTAGGACAGTTATAAACGGCCACCCGCCCCTGCACTGCTTCCGTCCGGCCATTTATATACATATATTTATATACAGAGCTGCACCATATTTTGCACTCTCCAGTTTTAGTAAATCAACCCCACTATGTCTGCAGTAAAGAATTCTTACTGTCTGTCCATAATCTCTTTGACTTGACAATGTCATGCACAGCTCATTGTGTATTTCCACACATGTGCTGAACAAATCAACTCCTGTGCACCTGTGCAGAATATTCATCATCTTGGCACAGCAAATCAACATGGCCAGAGATCCTGAACCTGGAAGACAAATGGATGAAAATGTTGGCTTGGATAAGGGAGCTTGCAGATGTCACGAGTAGAGTTGAGTATTGTTCCACTTAATGTCCTTAGTCTAGGCACTGGTGCACTTTAACCCCTTCCGCGCTGCCTTATAGCAGAAATACTGCTACATGGCGGCAAAGCTGCGCAAAATCATGTGTGTATATATATATATATATATATATATATATATATGATTTTGCAGTTCCGGGTAGGGAACTCACGCGTCCTGCCTGCACCACCATTCGTGGCCTTGGCTGTCAAACACCGGGTCTCTGTCTGTGATTCCCCGCCGGCACCTGGCGATCGCCAAGCATCACCGACGGAGGAGAGACCTGTGTATAAACATCACAGATCTCTCCCGTGTCAGCTCCTGCACACTGGTTTGTATGCCTCTGCAGAGCCACACAAAGCAGTGTGCTTACAGTGTAAAGTGCACACGCAGCACACAGTAAAACGGCACACAGTTAACCCTTTGATTGTCCCATATGTTAACCCCTTCCTGTCCAGTGTCATTAGTACAGTGTCAGTGCTTTTTATTAGCTTATCAGCTTTATCACTGTATTGGTGTCATTGGGGATGTCAGTGACACCAAGTCATTTCCCCCCAGTGTCAGAATGCCCGCCACAGTCCCGCTATAAGTTGCTGATTGTCACCATTACTGGTTAAAAAAAAAAAATCCAGTATATATATCGCCAATATATATACCGCCATTTGTAAACACTATAACTTTCACGTAAACCAATAAATTTACATGTATTGGGATTTTGTTTTAGCTAAGACATGTCGCAGAATACATTTTGGCCTAAATTAGATTTTTTTTTTGTTTTATAGCGCAAAAAATAAAAAATGCACAGGCGATCAAATACCACCAAAAGAAAGCTCTATTTGTGGGGAAAAAAGGACGTAAATTCAAGGCCTGGTCAGGAAGGGGGGGGGGGGGGGGGGGGTAAATCCTCTGGAGGGCAAGTTGTTAAAGCGGAACTCAAGGCACAACTCCAATTCCTGAAACAACCAATAAGCCTGTATTATGGCATTCTAAATATTTTTAATGCAGGGAATGTTTAGGTTGCAGTATGCCCCTCCCCCCCCCCCCCTCACTCGATTTAGTGCTGTGCCCATCTGCAGCAGTTCTTCCCACTCTCTTTGTCAGTCATATCCTGTGATGGGGGGGTGGGGCCAAGCCGCATTGTCTTTGTCTATGGGGGCAGGCAACACAGCTCAGGATGGAGCCCATAAGTGTGCCATGATAGCGGCTTTCCATGGTGGCACATCAAAAAAGAGGATCAGGGCAGCTCTGTGCAATTCCATCTAGTCTTTTCCTGTTATTGAAAAAAAAAAAAAGAGGCCTATTTGTGTAGTGGAGGGGAGAAGGAGTGCATAGGAGGGAACTTTCTTTTCAGGGTAAAGATCTGCTTTGATGTCCTAATGTATAGTCAAGTATTTGACTGTTGATGTTGACAGTCCTTCTAATGTGGACTCATTTCCTGTGCTATGCAGACAACACCATGGTCCCACTGCTGAATTTGCAGTGTTGTCAGCCCACAAATTTATGGCTCCCCGTTCATCTAAATAATGACATCATCAAAGAGTTCAATTGGCACACAATGGTTGTTGATGTCTACTTTCCCATTCATGTCGATCAAACTCATGTTGTTGCATGCTTTAGCATACAAATGTTGTCCATCTCTGCCTTCTCATTCCGTTACTGGAGCAGTAAAAAAGGATGTTAACAGGCAGTTTGATAATGAAGAGCTGAATAATGCTAATGGTGAATGAGCTTTTTATATGTTCATTCCTGTTGGCTTGCCTTACACTTTCATTTATTTTTCTGTGTTGTACTAATAAGCTAAATGATGTGTAGATTTTGTTGTGTTCATTTTTTTTCTTTCCAGGTAGCACTGCCTTAAAAGGTACTAAGGGATATTGATTTTTTTTTTTCAGTGTTTACTCTTCTGTTGTAAAAAAGTAACTGGAAGCAGGCCTGAGCCCTTGTGGGAGTTTTACTTCAAATTTAAGAAGCCGGTATGGTATAACTTACTATGGTATTTTATTTAGCGTCAAAGCAGAACTACTTTGCTTTTTTTTGTGTTTTCTTGTGTGTTAAAGCAGAACTGTGCTCACCTTGGGTCCAGCGATGTGAAGTCCTGGAGCTCCCCTCTGGCAGCTGACATCTTTGAATGGCCCACTTCTGGGTATTGATCACTGGCCGCTCTCATTGGCTGTACAGTTCTGTTGTCTTTGGCATTGTCAAATTTCTACACACTTCTCACTGTACAGGGGCGGACAGGCAGGTAGGTAATTTTAATGCAGAAGAGACAAAGCATGCCTCTTCTACATTAATAATCTTGCCTCTTCGCCCATTTTTATTTTGCATATAAAGTTCCACTTTAAGAGTAGCAAGCGCTAATGTGAGCTGGTGTTTAACATCCCCACAGAGTACCTGTCATGACTAGAGATGAGCGAATCGAACCAGGCGAAGTGGAATTCGATTCGAATTTCAGGAAAAATTCGATTCGCGTCGAATCCGAATATTAGCCTACTTCGGGTGCGCGAATCGGATTTTTCCCGATCAGCCGGCAAAAGTGTCCCTGCAGAGAGCTCCGCTATTTCTGACAGTTCTCTGACAGTTCCTTCACATGTACAGCGGTTGAAACATTGTATCTATTTGTTTCCATTTAGGATACAGATTCCAAGCCGGCAAAAAGTGTATCTGCAGAGCTCCTCTATTCTGCAGATACACTTAGAGAGGAGCTCTGCAGATACACTTTTTGCCGACTTGGAATTCTTCTTATTTTCATCCCTCTTCTTCTTCTTCTCTCCTTTCATCCTCATCCTCTCTCATCTTCTTCTGAGGATGAGGATGAGGAAGAAGAAGAAGAAGAAGAAGTAGGATAAAATAAGAAGAATTCCAAGCCGGCAAAAAGTGTATCTGCAGAGCTGCAGATACACTTTTTGCCAGGCTTGGAATTCTTCTTATTTTCATCCTACTATTTGTTTCCATTATATGGAAACAAATAGATACAATGTTTCAACCGCTGTATGGAGGGAATGTCACAGAACTGTCAGAAATAGCCTATTTCTGACAGTTCTGTGACATTCCCTCCATACAGCGGTTGAAAACATTGTATCTATTTTTTCTTCCATAAATGAAACAAATAGATACAATTTTCAACCCATATGGAGGGAAATCTTCAAGAACTGTCTAGCGGAGCTCTGCAGATACACTTAGCAGAGCTCTGCAGATAGAACCGCTGTATGGAGTGAATGTCACAGAACTGTCAGAAATAGCTATTTCTGACAGTTCTCTGACATTCACTCCATACAGCAGTTGAAACATAGCCTATGTTTCAACCGCTGAAAAGCAGAGCTCCGCTAAGTGTAAATCTGCAGAGCTTCCGCTAATTTCTGACAGTTCTGTGACATTCCCTCCATACAGCGGTTGAAACATTGTATCTATTTGTTTCCATAAATGGAAACAAATAGATACAATGTTTCAAACGCTGTATGGAGGGAATTCTCACAGAACTGTCAGGCTATTTCTGACAGTTCTGTGACATTCCCTCCATACAGCGGTTTGAAACCCCTTCTTCTATTCTTCTCCTTCTCCTTCTTCATTCCTCATCCTTCTCATTCTTCTTCTCCTTCTTCTCATCCTTCTCCTTCTCCTTCTTCTCATCCTTCTCCTTCTCCTTCTTCTCATTCTTCTCCTTCTTCTCATCCTTCTTCTCATCCTTCTCCTTCTTCTCATCCTTCTTCTCATCCTTCTCCTTCTTCTCTTCATCCTTCTTCTCATCCTTCTCCTTCTTCTCATCCTTCTCCTTCTTCTCATCCTTCTCCTTCTTCTCATCCTTCTCCTTCTTCTCATCCTTCTCCTTCTTCTCATCCTTCTCCTTCTTCTCATCCTTCTCCTTCTTCTCATCCTTCTTCTTCTTCTCATCCTTCTCCTTCTTCTCATCCTTCTCCTTCTTCTCATCCTTCTCCTTCTTCTCATCCTTCTTACTTCTTCTCATCCTTCTTCTCATCCTTCTCCTTCTCCTTCTTCTCATCCTTCTCCTTCTTCTCATCCTTCTTCTTCTCATCCTTCTCCTTCTCCTTCTTCTCATCCTTCTCCTTCTCCTTCTTCTCATCCTTCTCCTTCTTCTCATCCTTCTCCTTCTCCTTCTTCTCATCCTTCTCCTTCTCCTTCTTCTCATCCTTCTCCTTCTCCTTCTTCTCATCCTTCTCCTTCTCCTTCTTCTCATCCTTCTCCTTCTCCTTCTTCTCATCCTTCTCCTTCTCCTTCTCATCCTCATCCTTCTCCTTCTTCTCTCCTCCTTCTCCTTCTTCTCATCCTTCTCCTTCTCCTTCTTCTCATCCTTCTCCTCTCTCCTTCTCCTTCTCCTTCTTCTCATCCTTCTCCTTGTCCTTCTTCTCATCCTTCTCCTTGTCCTTCCTCATCTCCAAGGGCATTTAAATTAAAGGTACAGTGTTCTGCACTAATTTTAAAGGCTCTCTGAAGCCTAGAAACCCTTTTAATAAGTTAAATTCGTAGCGAATTAATTCGCATCGAATCGAATTTCTTCCTCAAATTCGGCGAATCAGCCGAATCGAATTTTTGAATAATTCGCTCATCTCTAGTCATGACAGATTGAAGACAGTCATTACTAAACTCTTCTTTGATAATGCTAGTTGGCTGGTTGTCATTCTGATGCTTTGAATTTAATGCTGTCTGAATTGCTGGCCTGGAGCAAGTTTACCTGGTTCTGACACATGTTGCAGGTCTGTAACATACAAAAACATAGCCAAACATTTACAATTCTCCGGAGGCCTGCAGCTGGCAGCCCAAAACTTTTTTTTCATAAGAGTCCCTTTAACAGGAACAATACCTTTTAGATGCCACGGGAGCTGAACCTGTAAACGAAATTAAACCCTCCTATGCTTTCTTGCAAAGGAAGCTGCCATCTTAGCTTCTATTTCGATCTGTGGTTGCCATGGTGCTGCACACATGATCAATTATGAGACCAGCCATTTGATGGCTTGACAGTTTAGTTGAAAAAACAGTCCACTGTGATGGTTCTCATTCATGACATACCTTGAATGAAACTGTTTTATCAACGGGTTTAGTTCTGCCTTACATGCCCTGAAAAGTTATTGTCAATAACTGAGTTTCCTCACCTGTATAACCCTTATGGATCATAGTAACATTTTACTGATTCAGCTATACCTTGGTCATTACTTAGTTGTCAATGTTAAAGTAATGCATATGTCACTTTTGTGGGGGGGGGGGGGGTTTGTTTTTGTTTAGTTTTTTTTCAGCACGCACAAGGCTTTCTTTTAAAATGTTGTATTGTGAAAATTGGTCATTTTTATGCAGTCTAAAGGCAAAAAAAAAACTTACAAAAGAATTCAAGGTTTGGAGATTTTATGCATAGTTACATTGGTCCATCTTGGTACATAGTTACATTGGTACATCCCCAATGTCCAAACGCATATAGCTTACCTGGCAAATGCTCCTGGAATCTATAAATCACTGGAGTAGACACCGCTACCCCAGTGATCTCTACTTGCTTCCAGTTCCCATGCTGAGTGGCTGGCCTGATGCATTGTGAACATAGGTCAGCTGTACAACACAGGTGCCATTCAGAGAATGTATTGCATTTTTTGAATGAATACATAGTGTTCTCTGATTGGAAGAGGAAGGTGGGGATATCATAGAAGGAGAAACCAGGGGCATATTCTGGGGTGGAGCTGAAGAGGGATAAAAAAATAGGACATTTTCTTGGGATGAAGGAGGTTGAAAAGTGGGGTGAAAGATAAGAAGGTGAATGAGAGGGGAGGAGGATGAATAATTTGGATCTTTAAGCCTAATTCTGTAACTCTGTAGTTAGAAACGTACGGGGGATTCTATTGTTGGTTGCTTTCTGAAAATGCTAATTGCCAGGCTGTCTGGCTTCAGTACTTGTGAACCACAAATCAAACACAAGCAGACCACCAGCATTCTGAAAAAATCAGCAATGGTAGCTTACACATTCTCCCATGAAAGGTGTATTTTATGACATCTCAAATTCAGCTGTTTTAGATGTGTGTGTGCTTTGCTGAAAAAGACCAGTTTACATTTATATAGTACATATGATCTCATAAAGGTGTTCTGTTTTTTTTGTTATTTAGCCTCTAAAACAGAAGAATCATTGTATTAATTATCTGCAGCCTCCAACAGAGTACAAAGAAGTCCATTATAACCCAGACCAAGACTGTTGCCTACTTCAGATTACTACCCTTAACTTTATCTTCATCCCTGTGGTCATGGGTATGACACTGACTTTTGTAAGTAGTCTGTTACTTCTTTCATTGGAAGCTTTGCCTGATAGCAATCGTGTGTAAGTCTAAACTAGTCACACGCTGTACCTATTTTATGTTGTTGTTTTGACTTTTTGTGGTTTTCCAATGTGACTGATGGTACATCAGGCATATTACACAGTCATACTGACTGTTTATACTACAGGGGAAAATTGTCTTTGGTAATGCTGTATGCACAGTATGTTCTTTAGGTGAGCACCCGGCACTGTCTGTGATAGCTGTGTCCTTTTGGATTGACCACATAACATGGTAAAAGGCCTTTTACCACGTGATCAGCTGTGTCCAATCACAGCTGACCACCATATCTGCAGAGAGATGTCTACTCTGATAATAAGGGCACTGATTATCAGTGCAGTCCCAAAAGTGCCTAGCAGTGCTGCCAAGCTGTGCCTGTCAGTGCCCATCAGTGCTACCTATTAGTGCCCATCAGTGCAGCATCATCAATGTCCAACAGTGCTGCACATCAGTGAAGGAGAAAAATTACCTGTTTGCAAAATTTTGTAATAGAAACAAAGAAAACTTTCTTTTCGCTTTTTTTTTTTTTATCTATAAATAAAAAACACAGTGGTGATTAAATACAGCCAAAAGAAAGCTCTTTGTGTGCAGAAAACAAAATAAAAATTTCATATGGGTATGGCTGCACTATTGTCATTCAAAGTGCAACAGCACTGAAAGCTGAAAATTGGCCTGGGCAGGAAGGGGGTAAAAGTGCCCAGTAACCAGTGGTTAATTGGCTTTCAGGGCACTATTTCTCCCTCTGACACCAAGGATGGGCACTATTGCTCTGCTTATATCAATAATGGGGGCAACATTCTTCCTTCTGCTGACCGCAAGCGGTAAGTAATTTTTTACTCCCACTGACCACCATCCCTAAGGCAATTTTTTTCTCCCACTGACCGCAGAGAATGGGACATGGTTTTCTCTCACTGATGCTTGGGCATTTTCTAATCCACTGGCCAATCTGGCCCTCAAGTCTTGACAGTGAGCTGACCCTTTGTCCTGAACTGTATGAAATTGACTCCAGTTTTAAGGGTTTTGTTGTGATGTTTGAGGATCTTTGAAAATAAATTACTTCGTAGTGTATGCAGCTAGAGGACTGGTTTGACTTCTTTTTAAAGGTCTGTTACTGCTTGTTAAGAATATGTCCTCCCTTTAGATTGTAAGTTCCATGAGCAGGTCCCTCCTATTCCTTCAGTATTGAAATGTATTGTAATTGTACTGTCCCCCTTTATATTGTAAAGCACTGCGTAAACTGTTCGCACTATATAAATCCTGTACAATACTAATAATGATCTCTGTAATCTCGGCATAAATGCACTTTAACTCTTATGATGCCATCGATATAACTCTTACGTTCATGGTAGTGCTTGCTTTTTTGTTGCAGGCTTTCTTGTGAATGTGATTTGGACTGTAAAGCCAACCACCCACATTTCTGTATACAGTAATCTTTTTAACCTCACACCCCACCCCTTTGTCAGGTTTTCATTGCTGTCTGTGTTTTTATATTTCGCTGACGAGGCATCACCAAGACAAGAAGTGATAGAATATCGGGTTGATGCTTGTGGGTCACAGGAATGCACAAGTAAGTGCCCTCCTGTGACCCACTCTTAACAATAGATTCAAAAAAAAAGTTTTGGCTGGAGGTGTACCTTAATGTGTGTGTATTTCTCTGAGGTAAAAAGGAGCAAACTGTTGCAGATATGAAGCGTAGGCATCTATACCTGCCTCTACCCCTACACCCCCAGGTTTTTTTATGGGCCGATCACTATAAGGGACAGCCTTACTGACAAGTATAATTACAGGGCGAGAGAGAGGCCGGCAAACTTCATTATGAAGTACCAATGCTTTACCTGTCAGAAAAATCTTGAGCGATTGTGTGTGAGAGTGTACAGGTTTACAATTCCACAGCACACATCAACATGTCGTTATCATGAAATATAATTTACAGTTTCTGTGTTGATCAGGAAGCTAATTTTTAATTTTTTTTTAGCTCACAATAAACGTCAGTACTGACATGAGACATCATCGTGTGCGACTGGTCTTCCAAGACTGTCCTATGTTAAATGGCAAGAAGCCTCGTGGGGAACAAGGCATACAAATAGTTCTGGATCCTGTTCATTGCGTCCATCTTCTTGAATGGTGGCATCCCAAATATCCTTTCTCAATAAAAGCTTAGTATCTCAACTGAAATCTTCTTTCTGGTAGCAGCCCATCTATGAACCAAAGAGAATAAAAAACACTAAAATGTTGTGAATTATATACAGGGTTGTTGAATAAATCTGTACCAAGGAAATATACAAGCCACCATTTCTAGACTCTTCTTTTGAAAATGCTAGTTGCCTGACTGCTATGCTCATTTCTGGTCCGTGACTTTGGTTGTGTTGACGCCAGTAGCAGACAAGCAACTGATATTCTTGGTGTAAGCAATATAAGGCCCCATACTTCTTTTAGTACAGAAGTTCTTTAATACTTAAATATTAACTGAAGCCAATTTTTTTCTTCTCTTTTGGGAATATTTTACCTCACTTCAAGTCCATATTATGATGTCTGTGAAAAAATGAGGAAGGGGGACCAAGATGTCAGTGTTCGTCATTGGAACAAGAAGGCAATGACTGCAATAAACACATTTTGAGAAATTAAAAACAATGTCCACTGCGTTTTGTGTTTCTACCTATTTGAGAGATTTCCCATAATTTCTTGTTCTAGAAAAAACACTGCAGTCAGCAAATTGAGGTTCTGACGCTTCACTGTTTCTATTCAAAATGAAAGAGACAAATTTTGGTTGCAGTTGGGTTTTATTGTAGCAGACATTTTTACAGTTCAGTGCCAAAGCGCGTCAAACATTACATTACAGTATAAACTTGAAAGTTTCCAAGACAAAAAAAAAGAATTTTATTCGCAGAAAGCAATTATATTTTATTATGCTTACTATAAATATTAGGCTCATTGATTTAAGTGTATGTAAACCCTAACAGTGAACTTATGATGTGCTTTTTTTGGTCTGTTAAAACAAACACCGTAAATAAAATATCTGTTTGATAAATGAAATAATATACCTGTTGATCCTGCCATAAATCCAGCAGGCTTGGGACTTTCTGTGTTCTTAGTCTCTGCTGCACTGAAATCTCAAGCAGTATTAAGCCCTGCCTTATAACTACAGAACACCCCCCCCCCCTGTGTTATGTAGATGAAGGGAGGGGATGCTGTTCTGTAGTCCTAACACACTTCTTGTCCAAGGGTGAAAATGCTCACTCTCAGCAGCATTGTTAACCCTAGGTCAGGAATTGCATTACTGGCAGGTTCACCATGTGAAAAGAAAGGAAAATAGCTTTGAAAAACTAATTCAGCTTCTGTATATTAGGACTGTTACACAGCAGTACATTACAATTTTGTTCTTGGGTTTAGATACATTTTAAATTCAATATCACCTTAATTGTTAGGAAGTTGAGCAAATGAAGAAAGATTTCTTAGATTGTAATGTTTTAACGTCAGTAGGATTTTTTTTTTTTTTTTTTGCCATAGCTGTAGAAATGTTTCACACTCATGTTTCTTGTAAATAGAAAGCTGCAGTATTACAGTAGATTGCCCAACATCCATAGAATTCTGTCTGAATTTAGAAATACAATGTCAGCAGGGAAGCTGCAAAAGAAAATGTTGCATTTAGCATTTTATGGGTGAGAAATTTTCTAAATGTAATTAAAAATGATGAAAAATCAGCATCATAGCGGTCCTGTTTTAATTATATTGTGAGCTGCAATATTTCTATTCTTGATTAACCTTTCAAATCAACACTGTAAGTTTAGTCTTTGGTAGAATGTGGTATATTTAACATTCTGAGGTCTTCCTTGCCTGAGAAGGGCTAACCAGAGAATAAAGTCAGCCATGGATGGATTGAATCTCAGCTGGTTCAGCAGGGACTGGCGGAGACTCAAACCATCTATGGGCAGGCAGATTGTATCCAAGTCGATCCATCAATTTGACTTGGGTATAACCAGCCTGTCAGATTTTTTTATATGCTATTACTGGGAGCACCTATAGCTTCTAGCAGTAATCCATTGTGTTCAACTGGCCGGGAAGTCTCCCTGCTGGCAGAACACAATAGCGCTGTAGGGAGGGATCCCCCTGATTTGCTTTCCCTACAACCACGGTGGATGAAAAGAAAATTAAACAGTCTATGGCTTGCTTAAGTAGGTTTACTTCCACTAGCTGACACTCATTAACTCCTTACAGTTATGCATTAATTTAGATTAAAAAAAAAGTCACACCTAAACATCCAACATCACACTGACTTTAATGACATGATAAAGGACCAGGGTTGTTTTGGCAGTATGAGACCATTCCACCTGCACTGTCTCTGCAATGCAGCCAAGTATGCTTTTTTATTAATGTGCATTGTGTTAAGACAGCACCAACATAGCTCACCACAGCGGATCAGAATGAATATTGTGCATTTGCAGCAACGTGTACAGTACCACAAGGGTGTGAATCCAGGCTGGTATTTAGGCAATTCCTGCTGAATCAGCTAAATTTGAGCTGTGGGTTTCCCTTTCAACACCAACTGGCTCAACAACCTGCAATTGAAAATTGCAGGTGGAAACCTGTCAGCCGAACAGTGACTGCATCATCTAATCAGATGCATTCACTGTAGGGTGTTCAGAGAGCCGAAAAAAAACACTGTGGCTGTCTGAATACAATAGCTGGAACTGAGTATTCCACGGGTTGCAGGAAAGAAAATCGCTTGACTGACAGTGTTGATGGAGGGAATCACTCCCACTGAGCTATTGTGTTCTCCTGGGGGGGGGGGCGATTACTGTTAGTGGCTATATCTGCTGGCAGTGATAGCATGTGAAAATCTGATATATTTGTTGTAGCCAGGTCGATCACTGGATCAGCTTGAGTACAATCAGCCTGGCCATAAATGGTTCCAATCTCTGGTGGTCCTGGCTGTTGTGTTAACCATCTATGGCCTGCTTAGGTGCGTATGGCTAGCATTGAAGTAGAAAGGAGAAAAAAAAAGGTTTACAAGCAGGAAGGCTTTTTATTACATAAGAGGCATACTCTGTCTCTTCTGCAATAAAAGCCTGTTTGCAAACTTCTTTATAATGTACATTGAGCTTTGCGTGCAAAGCTCTTGCATCATCCTGGGCCAGCCAGTCAAGAACACTGAAGATGCTGAACCCTAAAATGGGCAGCCTGCTTGCTGGAGCAGAGGGAAATATAGGCAGCTTTAGTTTCACTATAACTACACACCTAAATGTCATTGAATGATGTCAGGTAGGTTAAACAGAGGGAACAAATTTCTTCTCTACTTATTTTCTAATTTTTCCAAAAGTTACAGACCTGTTTCTGCAAGGTTGGCGCTTGTATTTACAAAATTATTAATTGATGTATTAATAACTAAAAAGAATATTCACAAATATTGACATAACGTTTCTTAATTCAGTAGGTTAATGCAAAGAACAAAACTGTCAGTAACCAGTTTAGTTTGTTGCCAAATCTGTAAAGAGATCAAACCTGGTTGTCGTTGTTTACTGCACTTCTTTATTACTAAGCAGCTTATGGTGAGAAGACCCCTTTTATTTATCTGGGTGGCTTTTAGGCTACACTGTGTCCTGTTTGCTGCTAGCAGACCATATTGCATACCATGATTGCTTCAATGGCTATAATGTTTCTGTATCGAATGTAATAATTGGCACTGGACAACTTTTTTTTTTTTGCACTTATGTGCAGAAATAAAATAATTTCCCTATTTATAATTTTTCATGTATGGATTTGCTAAAAAGAAAAGGAAATCTTATTTTTAAAAAAATATACTTTATTTTATTCAGAAGTGTGTGTCTTTGTACCAATAATGTAGTAATCAAATATTTCATGGATGTAAATGAGGATAACACTTTCATTCATTGTTACTGCTAAAGAGAGTCATTTTGAAAGCTGGAAACGTTGTACTAATGAATGCAGAATAAAAAAAAAAGAATGTTTTCACTCCTGACTGAGCTTTCATTTTGTGAAAAAAACATTTTGGATGGTTATTTTCTATCAAAGGGTAACTATACTGGATTATCAGTAGATGCAAATTTTAAATGATTTATTTATTTATTTTTAGATTAATTAAATCATATGCATATATGTAAGGGAAAATAAAAAAGATAATATAAATTATCTTTGAATTTTTGCTGGTTTATTTTTGACCCTCATGAAACGGGCCTTATTAAATCAGAGTGTCTGAAAAACATTTAACAGGTTCAGGTAAAAAGTATTTACACAAGTCTAATTGGCCCTTCCACTTCTTACTTGGTCTTCAGATCAGTTACTGTCCATGTTGTTGGAGATAAGGGAAGGGATTCAGTAGTATAGCAAAAGACAGTTGGGCAGAGCGGACACCATTTTTTTTTTGTAAATTTTGTAAAGTTGAAAAACTAACAAAATTTGTGTTGATCTTTGAATCCATCATTAGTGTGCCAACTGCGACTCATGATTTTATTGCCGCAATCAAAAGTGCCTGCTTCAGCGTGCTGGGTTTTAGTTGTGTGGTGGTTTTTTCTTTTTTTTTTTTTCTTTTATTAAGAAAATCGAAACCATTCATGGCACAATCGTATGAGCTATTTTTGTTTTTCGATCAAAAAAAGTCTATGACCTCAAGTCCACAAAATCCTGCGAGGGGAATTTATCAGAATCTGGAGCAGGTGCGCATGGCAACCAATCAGCTTCTGTAGGACTACGGACTTGTTACAAGAGATGTACAGTGCCTGACATTAATAATTCACATCCTTTAGAAGACATAGATTGACACAGAGCAATAGGAAAGCGCAGACTACTGTGCAGAGGCTGTAAAGCCTCCACTGAAAGTGCCTAAGAGCCACCGTTGGGGTACCAGGTCTCTAGATAGACACAGCAATGAACCGTGTCTGCGCAATGTGTGTGTTCGCAGGTCTGCTTTTAGTCTCCACCAGAGGCATATGTGACAAGATGAAAATACAGGAGCACAATTGGTACATGGGTTTCACCATGAAACAGGAAGCACCTAAACCAGGATCTTGTAGGACCCTTTACTGAAAGCTTTATGTTTATAGAGAATGAAAACAATTTTTGAAAGTGTAGTAACACGTTAAAACATTTGAGTTCAGTAACTGGCTTTAGGTCTTTTTTAAGAGCTATATTTCATCTTTGAAACAA